TCTTTATTGTGAAAGGGTTTTTTTGTTATTTGTTTGGGAAAATCAGTTTGGCTAGGGAGGAGATGGGGAGAGGGGCACAGGCTGCATTTTTGTTGGTTTCAGATACCTACAGGTATAAACCAGCAGCGTCTCTCAAGTCTATCAAGTCCAAAGCTGCAGACTGCCCAGGGCGTAACTATCGTAACTAAAACCTTTGCAAGTGTAAATAAGACCACTTGGATAAAAACCCTCCACAGATGGGAAATGCTATCTACAACACAACCATCAAAAAGGAAAGGAAAGTTCTAATATGCTGGAATGGGGCTAAAAGGAGAAGCAGGAGAGGATCCTTTTTTAGCCTCTGAACCATGCCCTGCCATTGCCATTCTTTTTGTTTGAGCTGAATTAGGATCAAAGATAAGAAACTCATTTACTCTTCGCTGTACTTTTTTTTTCCAAATCTGTCAATACATACACTTAAGATAGAAAAGTAGAAGGAAAACCTATTTTTAACACAAGCCTTGCCCCAAAAGTTTATCTGTTCAGCTTTTCCAAGACAGCCAATGGTCTTCTGTATACTAACTCTTGTGTATGTATCAACATGAAAATGACAAAAATGCAGCAATATATTGCTATAGACACATCAAAATTAAGCAGAGAGGCCCAAAAGCAACAGGTTAAAAACCCAAAACAATGGGGTTTTAGGGAACGGAAAGTAACTGCTATCGCACAATTTCTATACTTACTGTTGATTACTATTATGCTCCAGTGACTGCTCTTTTGATTTTTATTCCACATTTCCTATTGTACTGAAGTCCTAGGTACCTACAGAAATTATATGTATTCTTACAATATGAAAACCATTCTGCTGGGTTTGTTTAAATTACACAGTATTTCTCTTTCTTACCCTTTAGGGCCACCAGAATTATTCAGCCATGACCAAAAAACCAAAAGGGAAACAATTCATGTCCCGAAGTTATATTTTTTCATCTTGATAATCATCACATCCTGCAACTCGGCACACTGTTACTGAGACACATATGTTGGCAGCTTTTGGCTGCTGTACTGATAATGCCTAGCACATTTAAAGGAAAGCGATCAGGTCCCTGGAAACAAGTTGGTCAGCTCTATAATGAGATTTTTAAAGCATATTTTTAAATCTAAAGCATCTACTTACAGCCAAAAACCTAATGGAGGACTTAAATCTATTTTGGGACACTTAACCCTCATCAGTCAAAAAATGAGGACAGCTCTTCAAACACGGCAAGATTCTTCTAGCAAAGTAAGGTTATCCTATCACTTCCACTTCTCTTGTTCTTTACGCTCCAACAGCATTTTTCCTAAATTGATTCAAGACATGTTCCCTGAAGGCTTCACAATGGACTTGTAGTTTACATCAGCTAGACATCAAAAGCAATAGAGAAGTTTGCTTTGCTATATTCAAGTTCAATTAAAAAAAAAAAAAAAACATATAATGATAAAAAAAGAAAGAAACAGACTTAAAAATTAAAAATTACCACCCTACTTTACACACAAATATAATAAGCCCTAACAAAGAAGCTCTGTCAGGCTAGCGACATCAGCTATTACCAAAGCCACCTGGCAGTTCTTTCTAAAGACTATTTTCAGCTGCTTTTTTAACTATTCAATTTGAAATTTTCCACCTCAGTTGCCTGCTTCATGTAGTTTTTCCTCACCCTCCCCTCACTACCACCTTTTAAAAAAAAGTCAGAGAACGGCTGGAACATTTTTCTACCACAAAAGGAGCTAGGAGAAAAGCCCTTGTAAACTTTTCCTTTGGAAAACTGTAACCACTTTCCCGCCCTGAATTAGTAACTTCAAATCAGGCCGGACAACCATTTTTTATGCTCACTTTGTGAAAAATCTGACCTGATTTAGCCAAGCTACAAGAGTTTATATGTACTTTTTGGCAAGAGCTGCTGGAGCTTAACAACCAATCACCAAACAGTCCATCCTCAGTGACTTTCTGTATGTCACCTCCATGCACATCGCAACTGAATTAAGCTTCCTCTAACCTCTGGTTATGAGTGAAGAGCCAGATTTTCACTATAAGAGAATTCTGCATTTAAGAGGCATTAAGTACAACACTAGACAAAGTGCCACCTATCCCTGCCATAGTTGAAAACAGTGGTCTCTCACTTCGTGTTGTGGGGTAATAGAGTAGGAGGGAGGGAACATGGAGAAAACAGCTTGTAGTGGAGACTAGAACTGGAAGCTTGAAAGAATAAGCTGGGATTCACTAACCAAAGAAAGAAACTAAGCAGCATGTAAGAAGATGTGGTAGTGTATGAGTGAAAAACTGAACCAAATGAGCAATCCCAGGCAGAAAAACTCAGAACTGCGGATCACCAGGACCAGATAGAACAAGGGACAGAATACAGCTGATAGAGCTGGATTTTAGTGATTGTATGTGGAAGGGAGCTGGCTGACAACAAAACACTGAGGAAAGACCCAGCACCAGGAATCAGAAATATAGACAAGAAGAAGAATGAAGAGAAGTGAGGGAGAGTGAGAAGCATTAGTAGGCAGGCAAAGACTGACAGCAGAGCGACAAGGTGCAGTCAGAGACAGTCTGGGACAAGTCAGGCTTAGATATGTGATTGAAAAGACAGAATCAGTGCTGCAATGGAGATTGGCTTGAGGCAGGGACAAGATGGAAGTATAGGCAAAAAACTAAAAAGACTGTGTGTCTTCAGAAGCTATTGAAAAACATGAAATAAAATACCCTAAAGACTTACCATCATCTGCAAGTATCTTCCTCCTCCTCTCAGAAAAAATATCCCACTTTACTACTGATAAAAATATAATATAGCAACCCATAACTGTTACTTTCTCAATTCAAGAAACAGTAATGTTTGTATACTAAATTTAAAAGCTCCAATCCTGCTAATTATCAACATGGTGCCCATATCATAGAATATTAATCTTCTCATTTTGCTATTTTCTGGTTGATTTTAACTAGAAAATTACAAATAGAAGCACATTTACAAATATTAAACAAATACCAAGCTTGGAATTTTAATTCCTTGGACATCAGGAATCCTTCCATCTAAGTTTGCCCGCTAGTATTAATTCTGTCTTCGCTACTACATTATCCCAAACTATTTTTTCTAGTCTATCTCATTCAATTAACAGAATATTTTCTTGAAATAAATCCAAGTCGTATCTTGAAGGATGGCACCCTCTATAAGACCCTGCTTTCAATATTATGGAACCTACATGTTACATAGAAGAACAGGTTTTTAATCTGAGCTTTTGCCAAAAGATTCTTAATTGGCTGCATTAGTTACATTGTTGTGTATTAATAGTAAATTGCAAGACCTTACTAAGCTTTTGTATTCATGAAAATTGGCACTTTAACTCCATTCCCTCTCCAGTACTCCCCTGCTTGTTGCAGTTGAATTGGATTGGATCCACTGTGCAACTTCATACTGCTAAACAGCAATATACTAAGAAGTCAAAATTAATCAAAGAAACCAGAGATGCAAGTTTCTTCTCAGACCACTAGAAATAAAGATGCCTGCATTTCACACATAAGCCAAAGGCAAAGAAAATTCCCAACACACACTGCTTTTATATGACTCCAAAAATTTTGCATTATTGTTTAGAAGGTACTTTTCCTTCCTCTGAAAGAAAGCATTTTCGTTGCTGTTTCTTATAAATTTATTTTAATATCAAGAACAGTCACAATATATCCTAAAATAAAGCACTCTTTAAATGCAAGATTTAGAATTAATAACTATTAATACTAACTAACAAGATTTTAATTTTAGGCATTAAAAGAATCTACAGAGGAAAGCAAATGGGTTGGCAGTAACTATATTGGAGCATAACTTACCAAAAATATAAATTCGTAGAAATATATAGTATTCCCTTCTATTGTTACTTCAAAAGTAATATTCATCAGAATGTTTTAAAGACATTCTGAAGGCTAAGTATAAAGTTAGAGACATTAAAGTTTGTTTTAAAAAGCTGAACCATGGTAACATATATCTCAGGGTAGGTCTCTTGATTTAAAAAGTTTTGAGTTGTGATATCTACTTTGATCCCCAGCCTATGTTACCTCTCCAGCTCTGAGGTCCATTGCAGGGATCTTGAATTCAACACTGTTTACCATGCAACATACCATTCGGAGAAGTCAATACACATCTCATGATCCTATGATTCAAACTGGCAATTTAGGCCCAAATCTGCAACGTTCATGCAAAACTGAACCTCAGAAATGGATTCTGGCACAGAGAAAACAAGCTCTGGTCCTTGTTTCTTTACCGCAGATAATTTCTAACTTAGCTTTCCAAACTGTGGCTGAAAAATCAAATTATTTAAGTCTGAGAGAGCTTCTAAGTTGCTCAAAACAATCCCATACAGTTTCTAAAATAATTTTAGGTAACTGTTTTTTGTGCAACTGCCCATACAACTCATGTATAGCAAACCAAAAATAAGGCCTAGTACAGACTGGTCCCCCACCTCCTCCTTCTATTATCTCCTTTAAAGAGGGGAAAACAACCAATCTTTATTTTCAAGGAGGGTAACACTCGATATTCATGCACGTCCCTGTACAGTGCTGACTACAAATCTTTGTCAAAACAAACAACAGCAAGCAGCTGCTTGACTGCTTTGCTGTGTTTAGCAACCTTTTCTTGTTTTCTGGAAAGTGACCCGATGACCAAGATTGGTAAGAAATTCATTGTCAGAAAGAAAAGGCTCAAAGTAACTGGGTGCTGCATACTCTTAGGCCTATACGTAGTTTCACAAGAAAGCTATAAATGCAGCAGCATTCTTTTACTCCCCATCTGCCACAGCTCGGGGCAGCCTGTATGCTGTAAGGCTGCTCCTACGGAGACTTTGAACACTCCTAAATACATCAATGGCAGACTTACTGAGGCAGACAGGAATGGTATTCCAGGGTCCTGTTTCATCATCAAGGACGACAGCCAGAAAAGTAGCAATGTTTCAAAATGCAAAACTAAAAATCTACCTATAGAGTAGAAAATGCTTACCTGCTGAGCTAAGCAAAACACTGAAGTCTGTTCCTCTCTGTGATTCCCCATGTTCACTCTGTCCCTCTTTTTCTGTATCCTCGTAACGGCTCCAGTTGGAAAAAATCTTTCTTCTTGAATAGCTTTTCAGTTCTTCCTTTTCTTCCTCTCGTGATTCAATCTCATCATCCTTCCCTACCTGTGACATTTAAATAGACAGTTAAGCCGTTGTAACTCAATAGCATTTCGTTCTGTCTTTAAACAGTCATTCATACAAACAAGTCTAACCACAGAATTAAAACCCAGAAAGACAAATCAGCCTGGATCCCCATCAAAATTTTAGATCAGGTGCTACCATCTTCCTGAACTGTATGAAATTCATCAATAGTATAATTAAAAGCACCTAGTGAAGCTTCAATTCTTACAATGGTCAAGCAGTGACACTGATGTAAGTTCCTATTCTGGAAGCCTATAACAAACAGCTTCCTTCTTGAAACTAAGAGCAATGTGTAGGGAGCAGAGCTAAGTATTTAATCACAGTATCTCTGCCTAAGTGTTGCAGCGATACAGATGATAACAGAAAGAACTAATGTTTGTAGAGCAGAACAGGAAAAAGACAACATAACAAATACCACAGAAAAACATCTGGAAAGGGTGATCTACCTAGGTATTTCCATTATTACAAACTACAGGGTCTTAACTCAAGTAGTATGGAACAATTAATCAAATTAATTTCTTTCATGAAAGCTATTTTGCAGAAATATACATGGAAAAATTAAATAGACTGCTGGCACTCAATCTACTAGCCCAAACTCTTAAAAAGCTTTAGGGTCAAAAGGAGAACTCACTACAGTGTCAGCTTAAGATGCAAGCAAAATAGGCATTTGCCACAAGTACTCAACAGCTGTGGAAAACAATCCCCTCCCTTGAATCCTCTATATATTAACAGAACCCGCCTGCTCAGAGCTTGGTATTCAGCTGGAATGACTATCAGTTCACAAACAAAGATATGCTTCCTGGAGGAAAGAGCACTCAACAGGCAAGAGGAGAACTGAGAGCAACCAGAAAAATTCTGTACGATATACTTCATGCAGAGGTTTAAAGTTCTGAAGAGGTGAAGTAAGGGAGTCAAGAAAGAATATATTCCCACGGTGTCTACTCCCAAGCATTCCTGCTGACAGCTCCACTCTCTTTTCTCTCCTTTGCTCCACCTTTCTTTTCACAAATCACAGTGTGCTGCTGCCGTAAGATTAAATTTAGCTGTCGCGACAATAAGTACATTCTTCATGACCAGGGCAGTGAGGTTCAAGCTTATCTATGCTGCTGTAAAGCTTAAAGCCATCTCTATTCAGTATAAAGTAAGTTAAAAGCGAGCTACCTTTTGGTAAGTCGTTATATATCCATAAACCAAAACACCTTTACAGCTTACCATCAGATACTGGCTTTAGGGAGGACCTTGGCTTTGATACTTTAAACCAAATTTAATCCTGAAGTAAATGTGAAGAGCTGTTACTTATGTTTAAAAAAAAAAAACAACAACCTGTACGTGAAGAGCTGCAACATCTTGTGGAGAAAGATTACTCAAATCTCTAGTAGTTACTGTGTTTCTAAAACTACATAAAGGGTTTTTTTAAGCACATACTGTGGACCTACGTACTGGTACAACATTGGAAAACCTGGTAAAAGCAACTGCACAAAGCCACTACCACTAACAAACCACCATCACTTCATTAATTTGTTTTATAACCAATGACTTACTTTCATAGCTCAAGAAAGGACACAAAGCAATGCAACACGTTTTACATTGATTTTAGAAATCCATTGTGAAGAAAGCTTAGATACTCCATAGAAAAATCTGTAGTTATGTTTTGGCTCAGCTAGACATGGACAAACTGTTTGAGATTTTCATGTTCCTTTAGTGTCCAATTACACAACAGAAAGACCTCTAATGATACCAAATAAATACCTGTTGCACACCAAGTACTGTATTTATATGCAAAGTACATCATCATAAAAAGAAGATTGAAACAGCCAAAAAAGTAGGAAGTAGCAGTTTGTGAACAGCAGAGCATTACTACTCCTTATTTCCTACTCCTTATTAAAAACAACCCAAAGTAGCAGTGAAGAATTTTTCATGGCTTTTACACAAATGTTCACTGAAAGGCAAAGCATCCTCAAACATGATTGTAAGAGTTTAGATTCTCCCATGTTTGATGTCTTAAAAATTACTGCCCAGTGTATCATACAAGCAGCAAAATCAGAACTCGAACAATGACTTCCCAAGAAAAATAATCCATCAGTGTTCATAAACAAGTTTATTTCAGCACTATTGTAGAGATCTGGTTAAGAACAGCATGAAGGAATGGTAAAATCATCAAAGAGCTTAGAAAGAGATTAAAAGCTGTCATAATTATACAAATATACTCCTAGTTGTCAAATAGCTGACCAAAAGGGAAATATTCTGTGCATTCTCACCGATTCTGTGCAATTTTTAGGTAAACTCTCTTTTCTTTCTATTCATCAGATAAATACACTAAAATGGTTGTCTTCATGAGCAGGGGAATGAAGTCACAAGTCTCTATTATTGGGGACTGATCCAGAGCTACACAGAACAAAAAGCAAATCCACTTATATCAAGATAAGAATCAACTTATTTCTCTTCTGTTCTTCTCCTGGAAATTGAATGATTTGCTATAAGCCAGCAAACCTAGTGAGATGCAGTGCCCAAAATAACTTGGACTCGATACAATTCACAAGTGAAAGCAAGAATAATGCTGCACAGATAGATCTGTGTTGTATTTTAGTTCTGTTTTTAAGAAAAGTTCAGAATGACCGCAAGCAACTATGACATTATATATAATTACTTCTTATAGCCCTGTTTAAAGGATTCACTCCTGTCAGCTGTCAACATAAATAAAACAGGAGTATCACCTTATTTTAACAAACTTCCAATTAACTAATATGGATTCAAATGTTTTCTCTTAACTGGACTAAATTCTTTTTCACATTCTGTTATTAGCTATATTGTACAGCACACCTCAAGAAAATTTCATTTCTTAGAAGTAAAATTGTAACTTGAATTTTAAGAAATAAACCACAGATTCTCAGGACTGTTAGTAGCGATTGTGCAGCCTGGTTCCCCAAATACTGTCCTGAGGTTTGCTTTTGAAATAAGTAAACTTCAAATACAAAACTGCTTACATGTCCGATAAATATTTCATGGAAAATTTTACCATGATGCACTGCCATGCTACAGGATAAAACCACAAATAATCACATTTGAATATTCAACATTCAAACAGCTTAAAGATGCGTCTTCACCATTAAAATTATCAAATACATAAAAAAACTGATCAGTGGAGCTTCAGAAAGTAATTTGCTTCAAACATTTCACATGAGACAGCTACCACCTAAAGTAACAACCTCAGAAACACAGACATAAATCTTCATTACTTTCCTGTTAGCTGCCTATTCAGCTAGACTATATGCTGCTACCGTTATCATCATAACCCACTGACAATGAGTCTTAATCAGTACAGAGCAAACATCTGTCCTACGTGTAATGAAATAAAATAAATTCTCTCCTGCCTCATCCTCAAATAACAAATGATACAAGCTGAAACAAATCCTAGAAGCCAACTCAAATATAACCTTTAAAAAAGTATTACTCAGGTAAGGAGAAAAACTTATGCCTTTAAACAGTATTGAACTACATCTACACGCTATCGCTCAGTACTGTAATGCACTCTGATACCACAGGAGGTATAACATTTATCTGCTGCGCCTCTGTTTTGAGTAGCATTACATGCATTACCATTTGTGCATTTCATTGAAATTTTGGAAGTGGGGAAGTATGCAAAAGCCCAGTTAAACAAAACCAGGAAACCTTCAGACTGTTTTGCATATCAGAAGAACAAAAAAACAAAAAAAAAAAATACAGTGTTCTGCTAAACACTAAGTTCATCAATGCAATTCAAACAACAGCAAAAAGACAAAGCTCCCCCCACAGACAAGCTTGCATGATCTGGGGTCTTCCACCAAGGAACACATTTTTGTCCTTTACCAGAGCCTGTGACTCCACTTTCTGTCTGAAGGAAAGCAAAATGCACAGCACGTGACCCTAATCTACAGTCTCTACCACAGCAAAACAATATTTTAGTAAACTTTCCTGCTAATTTTGCATACAGGGTTGGGGACAGTACAGTACTGAGAAAAAATTGGAAAGCAGGCTTTCTGTTTGACTTTTCCTACAGACAAGAACATGTTGATGCACATGGGTCAGGAACAAAGGTGTCAAAATGAAGCAAACATTGCTCTGAACAGGCAGTTTCCCCCAGGGTCATCTTTCTGCACTTCCCTGGAAGCCAGAGTGCTTTGGATCAAACCACGGCTGAAGTAAACAATGGAGAAAGTGGAACAGTGACCTCTTTACATCCTGCTTCAATTACTTCACCGCTCTTCACTGTAAGTGCAGTCAGCCCTAGCACGTTAAGCACACGTGTGCAAACACTCAACAAGAATTGTTGAGCTCACAGCCCTTCAAAAAACACCTACAAGTGCATTAAAAGTCAGGTTTCCATTAAGACTTTCTAAAACCGCATTTATTGCCCTTAGGAAGCCACAGGAGTTAAGGCTTATAGCCCTCTTCTTCAGTTCTATTAACTGTAAGAAAAGTTTAAAACATTTAATCTTTGTCCGTACCTACAATATTGTACAGAGACTGGGAAGAACATAGAAACAACATATGTTCAGCTTGCCTTTCTTTGGGCCAAGGGCCCTTCTCCATTATGTAGTAATCATGCATTATTAGATTTCCATTCGTATTTATTTTGTAGTATTTCTCCCAATTCTCTTCCTGAGAATGTCACTTTACAGAACGTATGAAAACATAGCTTGAGCTTTTTTGTTATTCTGTTAGAAAGAACATAGCGATTTCTCTCCTTCACCTTCTTCCCAAACGTGTACAGTAACATTTTCATTTTTTCTTAAGAGAACCTGTACAATTATATTGATCAAGTGCTACTTTTCCCCTTTGTTACTGTAACTTCTGCACTACTGTTTTGACTGTTACACCTCTCAAAAACATAGACATTTCCTCAATCTTTTCCATTCTTTATTAGGGATGCTTATCTACAATACCCCAGACATCTTACATATCCACACAGAGTCCACAAAAAATAGTTATCCACTGCCATGCAC